CTATATGATCAATAGATCTCCACCCTAACTCCAGAAGCCCTGACTTGGACCAGGAATGTACAAATTTAGAAGAGGAATTAATTATGCCAACACTTTGACTGCTTCATGTCCAGGAGTAAAAATGAATTTTAAAGATTGAATTGAAATTGATGCTTTTAGTTCCACTTCTCAGGCCCTGAGGAACAGAGACCATGGAATTAATAATTTTTGTTCCCCTTTACTCATAGATGCTATATGTCAAAATTGGTTGATATTGGTTTTAGCAGTTACAGAGAAGTAGCAGAAAATGTTCAAATATAAACGGACGACTGAAGACGGAAGACGCACATCGCTCGACAACGAACGAAAAACAGCATTATTTCACCTGAGTGACTCAGGTCATCAAAGCTATTTAATTTCAGTTTCCAAACTTCAGATCCATTTGGAACTTATATTGTACTGTGTACAAAAGGAGGCAACTAGTTAAAATATTCTAAGTAAAATACTGTTGAAAGAGTTATCTTGCTTATCAATGACATAAAATTTCTTAGACGAGTTATCGTTCGTTGAATAAGCTTTCTACGAACCCTATGCTCAGTTTACAAGCTTTCTCGAGCTCTTGGATACCACTGAATTACACCTCGATCGATCGATCGATCGAGAGAGAGAGAGAGAGAGAGAGAGAGAGAATTCCAAAGCATAAATATTTTCTCTTTTTTCGTCAGTTTTACTTCTAGAGAGAGAGAGAGAGAGAATTCCAAAGCATAAATATTTTCTTTTTTCGTCAGTTTTATTTCTTGAGATATTTTTTTATTTTGTAAAATCCTAATAAAATCTGAATGATGTTTTCAATGTTTACAATTTTTTGATAATGCTATCTTTTTTCCAACTTGCTTTGATTTCCGTTCAAACATAACTTAAGGGTATCTAATTCATGAAAGAAGAGACGATAATCGAAAATATCAAAACCCTTACAATCACAACACCACTATGTTTGGTTTCCAATAATAAATATTGGCAATGAAAACCAATACAAGTAAATTTAATGTTAACTGGAAAACACGGATATGTCATATTTTGTAATATATATATATATATATATATATATATATATATATATATATATATATATATATATATATATATATATATATATATATATATATATATATATATATATTAGGGATGTCAATTTTGTCAATAATTAATATTCGAATATTCAATAAAAGTATTCGAATATATTCGAATATTCGATAAAATAAATAAAATCTGTTTTGTTTTTTTTTAAAGGCATCATCCTACTCTCATGAAAGGTTTAGCGTAGGTAACATTCTTATATTGGAAGTAAAATTGTATGAAGACTTTTGTAGATGTACAATAAGGAATTCCATTTTATATTTGTCAATGTTTGAAATAAATAATTGTCAATGATTTAAATGTAGAAAACTATAATTTTAACGAATGAAACATGTGTTTTTGTAGTAGCTCGGAGGAACCAGACGTCTTACCAAAGGCAGGATAGTCGTATACTGTTCAGATTTCAATACATGTAATTTAATAATTACAATTATCAACCTAATAAGAGATATGATTATAATCTTTGATACAATGTTTTTAAAATATAAACAAATATTACCATAGACATTCAATGATCAATTAAATTTATTTTGATAAGTACATGTATACTCTTCAGGTCTTTTAGACATTCTGCGAAGGTTTTCATTTTGTCCTCGATTCTAGATCCGATCGTATTTATTTAATAAAAACTATGAAAATACGTTTCTTTAATACCTTACTCAAAACAAAATAATTTAATAGATATATACGATAAGAAAGTACTAAGGGAAATCAGGCGATCGAAATTGATCGCTAGTAAATTAAACAGGGATAATTCAAGCACTGTTCTAATCAAAATTTATTAAACACAGTACTTCTTTTTATGAAATCTGAAAAAACACCGAATATTCGAATCTTAAATTCATATTCGAATATCAACTCATCGAATGAATATTCGAATATTCGTTGACATCCCTAATATATATATATATATATATATATATATATATATATATATATATATATATATATATATATATATATATATATATATATATATATATATATATATATATATATATATATATATATATAGAAAGCACTACAAAAACCAACAACATATATCCTAAGTGTCGGATCTACTAAATAGATACAAGGTCAAGGATGGAAATTTATATAAAGCACTAAAAATGACCAACGACAAGAACAGTAGAAATTGTCAAACGGGACGCCCTGTCCCTTCCTTAGGACAAAGAAAAAAGTTAAGAAGTCATAAAAACAAAGGAAATAGAAAAACAAAAACGGCTAGCACTACTACTAAACTACCAAACACTATTTATTTACAATGTTACATGTTGAATTTGAATTTTATAATCAGTTGTAAAGAAATAGATCCGGACCGCTATGAAATACGTCCGGTCTTTCGGGTGTACTCTGGTGAAGTGCGATTTACATAATTGAACGAATTAATTATCGCTAATTAATTACGGCCAAGCAGTAAATCGTACACTGTCTTATTCTCTCAAAATAGCTTAACTTTACATAATAAAAAGAAACCAAAGAAAGATAATTCAGATGTATTATAAATGTAATTTGGAAATGTTTTAGGACTGTTTATCGGATAAAAGAAATAATAAACAAAAATGTAAGCAAAAAAATCTATGCGTGGGTTGTCCTAGAATTGATAAAGCGAAATACCGGTAAAGTTAACACTATATAGAGAGAATAAACTTGTTTGTTACAATCAGGAATTGGGTCTAGTTCACGTTCATCCTGGTGAAGTCATTTAGTTTGTTGATACCATTAGGGCGGAATGACTTCAGTCTGTGCATCCAGAACTTTTCCTTGCTTTTTCTCTGAGCATCGGTCCAATTCGGATTATGGTCAATAACCACTACTGTCATGTCCTCCCATTTGTGACCTTCAAGGTTAAAATGTTCCCCAACGGGTTCATTGAGTTTTTTGGTCTTAATGGTCGAACGGTGATTATTGATTCTCCTGCGGATATCTCCCGTTTCCCCAACGCACTGTTTGGAACAAACTTTACAACTGATGAGATATATGCAGTTTTCTGTTTGACAAGACAAATTCCCTAGAATTCTGTAGCTGCGGCCTGTAACGGGGCTTTTAAAGCTGTCTATGTCAGAGCTGTGCTTACAGAGAAGACATCTTCTGTCAGAGCAAGCTCTAAAGCCTCCGTTAGGTAATGGATTGTCCAATCTGGTTCTAACTACCATGTCCTTTAAGTTCCTCGTGCGCCTGTAGGCAGCCAATGGAGGTTCCTTAAAGACCTGTGCCATTCTTTTGTTAGAGTGGAGAATTGGCAGGTTCTTTTTAAGAATACCGCTGAGGTTCTTAAAGGACTTATCGCATGTTTCTAAATTATTTGAAATTAAAAGCGTAAAACGTTCCTTATGACCACAGTTTATAAATTTTGTGTTTTTACTGCTGATAAACCGCGGTAATTAACCAATTATTGACCCAAATGGAAACCCCTGAATTAAAAATCTAAGTTAATTAGATAGCGATCACGTGACCCTGTGACGTCAAAGGCGACAATGGCTGATCAGCTCTTCACGTAAATCTCACTAAAATATATGCGATACAACCTGAATTTTCTGCGTTATGGACGACCAAATCACTGATTTTATCGATATGAAATTTCATATCCAACCTTATATTTTAGAATTGTCAGCAAGAAATAATCTGAAAAATCCGTTAACATTGTAAAAATAGCAGCGACGATAGCGAGGGAGACGCGGCGAAGACGAAGAAACTCGCCATCACAATACAATTTGATTTGTCATTTTATCACATGTATTAACTTATTTGATTCACAAATTTAATATTACATAACTTTGTTATTCTTCGTTTTTAACATGATATTAATTTATGCAAGTATGCTTTCATATGTTTTGTAAAGGTTGGCGGTCTTGAAAAATAATTTTCCGATCACGAAACATTGCCGTAATCAGACCTACAGATTCTAAATGTTTGGAATAAAAAAACTAAAATATCTCAAAATTCTTATACCTTAGTACTAGTTAATGTTTCTATAGTAATTGAAAATCACGGTAAGAATTAATTTTTTCAGCATTTTTCATAATTAATCTGCATTTGTCGTTGATAACTTCGTAAATAGTGTGCAACTTCTCATCTCTCTATCACTGAATTGTCGCCTATGACGTCAGAGCAGTATTTCGCCGAAATCCGACTGAAATATGCATATTGCCGTATTTAAATTTCAACTCTCAATATCTCTTAAAATATGCTTTCAACAACGTTTATTGTATTCAGAATTTTAATAAACAAGGTTGTAGATAATATTTTTCATAAAATTAAGATTTTTGAAAAATCATGCGATAAGTCCTTTAAGGACGGGATGGTATGTGGTTACCAGAGGGACCCTGCTGCTATTTCCTTTCTCCTTGTAGAGTAAGATGTTTTGTCTGTCGTGTTCTGCCATCTCATCAATAGCAGTTTGTACGTTGTGGGCTTTGTAGCCTCTATTGCATAAATGGGACTTTAGGAGACTGCTCTGTTCCTGATATAAGGCAGGGGATGAACAGATGCGACGAACTCTGGTAGCCAGACCCTTAGGCACACCCTTGAGTGTGTGTGGGGGATGACAGCTAGTCGGCTTGAGATATAGGTGGGAATCGGTGGGTTTCGTGTGGAGACTATACTCGATTTCGCCATCAATCAAGGTGGATGTAGTATCTAAGAATCTGTTTTTGGAATTAGATACGTCTACAGTAAATTCGATGGACTGATGGAAGGTGTTGGCAAACGAAATGAATGCTTCGGGGCTCTCGCGGCATTCCACCCACTTCATCTCTATATCGTCAATGAAACGCAACCAGCTAAGGGGCCTAAATGGTGCTTGAAGTAACAAGTTGCGTTCGAGTCTGCCCATGAAAATATTGGCATAAGATGGGGCCATTCTCGTACCCATAGCAGTGCCATTAACCTGCAGGTAATGTTCTCCATTAAACATGAAATTGTCACATTTGAGAACATGTTCAAGGAGCTTGGTAATGGACTCAGTGGAAGGAGTTTGTATTGATCTACTGTCCCAGACTTCTCTACAGGCCTCGATACCCTCATCGTGCGGAATGTTAGTGTACAAAGATGTAACGTCCATAGTCACGAGAAGGGTATGATCTGGAAGACCAGTCGAGGGCGTCTTGTTGATATAGTCTGTGGTGTCCTTGAGATAGGATGGCAAATTTTCTACATGTGGACGGAGATGCAAATCAATGAATTCAGAAATTTTCTCCGTGGGATGTCTGATTGCACTAACTATGGGGCGACCTGGCATGCCTTCTTTATGTATCTTAGGAAGCAGGTAAAATTGTCCTGGTCTACAGTCAATAGGATTGAGTGTCTCATAGACGTTTATACCAATCTCGTTATTTTCAAACATTTCATCTAGAGTTTTGGTGATAGCGGTGGAGAATTCTTTAGTAGGGTCAGAGTCAAGTTTCTTATAGAAACGTTCGTCTGAGAGTTGTCTATGGGCCTCCGCCATGTACGTCTCTTTGTCAAGTACTACTACTGTAGAGCCTTTGTCTGCTTTCTTGATCACGATGTCATCCCGATTCTTTAATGATTGTAAGGCGGATCTCTCTTCCTTACTTAAATTGTCGGGGGCCTTGTCTGGCATGGAAAGGAGTTTCTCAATGTCTGACTCAACGGCGTCAATATACGACTCAAGGGCTCCTCATTTACCTGGTGCAGGTTCCCAGTTGCTTTTGGGCCGATAGAGTTTGTGTTTCTCTAAGTCGTACAATTGTGGCTGGGAAGAGTCGTATGAGTCATCATCGGAGTCTTTTCTAGAGAAGTGCTCCTTCAGTCGAAGTCTCCGAAAAAATGCTCGGGTGTCCTCTCTGACTTGTTTTTCGTCGACCTCATGTGGCGTGGGACAGAAATTCAGCCCCTTAGAAAGAAGTGAGGTCTCCGACTCGGAGAGAGGAACACTAGATTTATTGAGCACTGGATAGATGTCAGGAGTTTGTAAGGGTCCGTCCCCCGTGATTGCCTTTTTGCGTTTGAAGCGTCTAGAGCGGGGTTTACGTGATTGGTTAACTCTGACCTCTGACCGGTCGTTTCTGGTCTGTGGAACATTGTCTCGGAGAAATTTCTTCTTTTGAGTATTGTTGAGATCTTTGGTTAGGGCCATATTGTAGGTGGCAATAATATTATGGGCTTCATCAAGGTTAGCTTGGGACATGCTATCAGTGAGGGATGATTCTAAGGACGTGATATCACTCTCAAATTGTCTAGAATACTTGTGAATATCCCAAGAAAGACAGAGTGACATCAATTGTCTAGAACACCTCCTTGTGATATATTCCCAGCGTTCTTGAAAGCGTTTGGACATTGGCCCTATGTTAGGCGTGACATTAATCTGGAAACCTTTAGGTATAATGTCACACTTTAAGTAGGTCTGTAAATTTGAAACACGATGTTTAGTTTTGATTGATTTTTGGTGTTGTTTCTTCAGGAGTTTGAATGTGGTCGCCCCATAGTTAGTGCAATCAGACATCCCACGGAGAAAATTTCTGAATTCATTGATTTGCATCTCCGTCCACATGTAGAAAATTTGCCATCCTATCTCAAGGACACCACAGACTATATCAACAAGACGCCCTCGACTGGTCTTCCAGATCATACCCTTCTCGTGACTATGGACGTTACATCTTTGTACACCAACATTCCGCACGATGAGGGTATCGAGGCCTGTAGAGAAGTCTGGGACAGTAGATCAATACAAACTCCTTCCACTGAGTCCATTACCAAGCTCCTTGAACATGTTCTCAAATGTGACAATTTCATGTTTAATGGAGAACATTACCTGCAGGTTAATGGCACTGCTATGGGTACGAGAATGGCCCCATCTTATGCCAATATTTTCATGGGCAGACTCGAACGCAACTTGTTACTTCAAGCACCATTTAGGCCCCTTAGCTGGTTGCGTTTCATTGACGATATAGAGATGAAGTGGGTGGAATGCCGCGAGAGCCCCGAAGCATTCATTTCGTTTGCCAACACCTTCCATCAGTCCATCGAATTTACTGTAGACGTATCTAATTCCAAAAACATATTCTTAGATACTACATCCACCTTGATTGATGGCGAAATCGAGTATAGTCTCCACACGAAACCCACCGATTCCCACCTATATCTCAAGCCGACTAGCTGTCATCCCCCACACACACTCAAGGGTGTGCCTAAGGGTCTGGCTACCAGAGTTCGTCGCATCTGTTCATCCCCTGCCTTATATCAGGAACAGAGCAGTCTCCTAAAGTCCCATTTATGCAATAGAGGCTACAAAGCCCACAACGTACAAACTGCTATTGATGAGATGGCAGGACACGACAGACAAAACCTCTTACTCTACAAGGAGAAAGGAAATAGCAGCAGGGTCCCTCTGGTAACCACATACCATCCCGTCCTTAAGAACCTCAGCGGTATTCTTAAAAAGAACCTGCCAATTCTCCACTCTAACAAAAGAATGGCACAGGTCTTTAAGGAACCTCCATTGGCTGCCTACAGGCGCACGAGGAACTTAAAGGACATGGTAGTTAGAACCAGATTGGACAATCCATTACCTAACGGAGGCTTTAGAGCTTGCTCTGACAGAAGATGTCTTCTCTGTAAGCACAGCTCTGACATAGACAGCTTTAAAAGCCCCGTTACATGCCGCAGCTACAGAATTCTAGGGAATTTGTCTTGTCAAACAGAAAACTGCATATATCTCATCAGTTGTAAAGTTTGTTCCAAACAGTGCGTTGGGGAAACGGGAGATATCCGCAGGAGAATCAATAATCACCGTTCGACCATTAAGACCAAAAAACTCAATGAACCCGTTGGGGAATATTTTAACCTTGAAGGTCACAAATGGGAGGACATGACAGTAGTGGTTATTGACCATAATCCGAATTGGACCGATGCTCAGAGAAAAAGCAAGGAGAAGTTCTGGATGCACAGACTGAAGTCATTCCGCCCTAATGGTATCAACAAACTAAATGACTTCACCAGGATGAACGTGAGCTAGACCCAATTCCTGATTGTAACAAACAAGTTTATTCTCTCTATATAGTGTTAACTTTACCGGTATTTCGCTTTATCAATTCTAGGACAACCCACGCATAGATTTTTTTGCTTACATTTTTGTTTATTTTTTCTTTTATCCGATAAACAGTCCTAAAACATTTCCAAATTACATTTATAATACATCTGAATTATCTTTCTTTGGTTTCTTTTTATTATGTAAAGTTAAGCTATTTTGAGAGAATAAGACAGTGTACGATTTACTGCTTGGCCGTAATTAATTAGCGATAATTAATTCGTTCAATTATGTAAATCGCACTTCACCAGAGTACACCCGAAAGACCGGACGTATTTCATAGCGGTCCGAATCTATTTCTTTACAACTGATTATAAAATTCAAATTCAACATGTAACATTGTAAATAAATAGTGTTTGGTAGTTTAGTAGTAGTGCTAGCCGTTTTTGTTTTTCTATTTCCTTTGTTTTTATGACTTAACCTTTTTCTTTGTCCTGAGGAAGGGACAGGGCGTCCCGAAAATTTGACAATTTCTATTGTTCGTGTCGTTGGTCATTTTTAGTGCTCTTTTTTTAGTACTTTAGTCTATATTTCTGAAATACGCATGCTCGACTTCACGGTCGGGGATTCTGGGGAAACTACTTTAGATAGACTGTACGATAATAATTTCGTTTTGTCATACAAAAATAGAAATGATCCGAATTTCAGGCTTTTCCTGTCTGATATGCGCGATATACATTTCGTAGGTTAGAGGCAGTCAATACCAGTCTAGATCCGGATTCTGATTTTTTTTTTAATTTATTGTCTAACCTACACATAAAAGTACAAGAAAAAATTTGGCCATATAATGCCAAGAGTCTAGACATCTAGCTTTCCTTACAGTTTTACCACCTTAGTGGATAATTCAGGCAAGCTCGGAAAAAACAACAACAACAACAAAAATCTTTTTCAGAGTATATCGGAAAGACATGCCAATTTAGTGTTTCGTGTTTTGTTGTCTAACCTGCACGCAAATGAACAAAAAGTAACAGTAACTCGGGTCTTATAAAACCAAGACTGTTATTTCTAAAGTTGTAATGATTACATAGCTTTTCTAATCTACCTTCATGGATCTTTCCGGCAAGCTCAGAAAACCGCGGCAACCTCGGATATGTTTTCCGAGCTTGCCGGAAAGGACCGAAGGTGCTCATTGGTTCTACTGACCTTTTATTTTTCACCTCGAAATTGAAATTACAGTAAAATACAGAATGCTTAAAGCACAGTTGGGAGTTATGCCATTGCCGACGTGAAGCACACTCTTAGATTCACCATTCTGAATTGTGACCCCCCCCCCCCCCCCAAATTCAACCCCCAGTGCACCAATCTGCCTTCCTATATAATTAATCGATTCAGCAAATTTAACAAATGGTTCAGATATCTTCTTCTGTATTTTATTATGCTACAGCGCTAGCTCACCAATCTTTTTAAAAGATAAGCTTGTATATATATATATATATAAAACAGCAAGCAATAAACTTTGCTCATTTTATGCACGTGTATAAAAATAGAATCCTAGATATATACCTCCAAGAGTGCACTGCATTTATGGATAATTCGTCAAAATGCTTTCTATATAATCATATTGTCCAATCTGACTTCTGTAAAATGCAATCCTATTTAACAAAACCTTTTCAGGGTAATTTAAAAAAACATATTTCCCGCATTAGACTTTCGTCTCACTATCTTAACATAGAATGCGGAAGATACCAAGGCAATAGTAGAGAGGATAGATTATGCGATGTTTGTAATACACGTGAAATAGAAGACGAATTCCATTTCATTCTTCAATGCCCTAGATATCTAAATTTAAGAAAAAAATATATAAATGAATATTATTACAAATCGCCAAGTACTTTTAAATTAATCCAATTGTTGGGTACCAACCGCATATCTACTTTAGTTGGTTTAGGGAAATATATTCATTATGCTCTAATATTACGCAACGAAGATCAATCAGGTTAACCTAATTTCTATCTATGTAAGGTTTATATTTTCAGATGTCTGTACATTAAAACATCATTGCTATATATTGTATTATAACTTTGAATTATTTATTGTGCTGCTTATTGTATTGTACTTAATTTGTTCAATATATATTATTGTATACTATAAATGAGTGGAACTGTGGGACTGAGGAACACTTGACCAGGGGTTTCACCCCCCAATTTAGGCTCACTGAGAGTCTTACATTTTGTAATATATGTTATTATATGTTATTTTTGTAAACTGATGGGCTGTATTGCCCAAAGTTATATCCTGAATAAACTAATATATAGAATTGAATAATTATATATAATTGAAAGGCACCAACAAAACATTCATAAGTTTATATGGTATAACTAGTGTGTTGAAATGAATAGAATGTTATGATATTTATACATCTTTTGCAATATAAAAGGTCAAGATAACTAATAGAGATCAATCTTACAAATTCAGATATCAAAACAAATTCTAGATAGGGCAAAACACGGACTCTGGAAAAACAAAAGGTGGGATCAGGTGCTTAGAAAAAATAAGAATCGCCAGTTGACCTGTCAAACGTACGGAAGCCGGTA